CTTTCTTTTCTTTCTTTCCTTTCCCAACCCTGATATACATCTTTGAAAGAATTAAGACAAAGCTTATTTCAACTTGATGAATTCTATTGTAAACCTAAGAGATGACAATACTGCCTCTCTGCTCAAGGATCATAAGGTGTGGAAGCAGATAAAACACACCCAGAGATGTATGCAAGGATTATTTGCCTTAAGTCATGGTTATGGAGATGTTCAGTGCTTGTTTTTGAAGAGCCCTTCCCTAGTCTTAAGCAGGGATTAATAAGAGTAATAATCATTGGTCATGTTGCTGGTTCATCATTGGAATTTCCTCCTTTAATTCTTTAAATATTTCACATAGGGCTAATTGAGAGTCTTGACTGCCCATATCTTTTATCCCTCAAAGTCTAAATGTGTGATCATTCTTCTGTTGATTCTTTTGTAGTACCACCCATGTAGTGACAATAATTCATTAAGAGCTTGTTGCTTGATCTTAACCTACTTGCCAGGATGGCCTAGCGTATATACTTTCCTCAAAAAGATTTTAAGTCTGCTTCCTAGGAGCTGGGACGGCTCTCTGACTTTGAGCCAGCCACCATCAACGTGTTAGTCTCACGCCCTTCTCTCTCATTTTCCTTCCGGCACCCTGACCTTAGTGTTCTGCTGGGAATCCTTCCTTCAAGAATCCAGATTTTCTGGTTCTTACTTCAGGCTTAAATACCAGCTTATTTGGGGGAAATGGGAGAATGATATTTGGAAAATTGCCTACTTCTAGTATTTAGAGGGCATCCTCTCCAAGGTCTGTTGAGCAGTTATTATTGTTATGCACCGTCACGTCAGAGCTGACCCATAGCTGACATGCCAGTGTGTTTTCAGAAGCAATTAATCTTATTAGAGGAGGTTGCCCATCCTTCTCCTGCAGCTGGTAGATTCGAACCATGTACCTTTGGGGTTGTAGCACAGCTTCTCAACTAGTCAGCCAGGGTCCAAAAGACTACTTTGACTTTCAAAAAGAAATTTCTTATTTGGAAATTTTCCCTACTTCTTAGTGTTGTTATTGTGTACCATTGAGTCAGAACCAACTCCTAGCACCCTCTGGTGGGTTTTCATAGGCAGTTAATCGCACAGGAGATTTCTCATCCTTCTCTCTTTGAACAGCTGGGATTCGAACCAGATGCCTTCGGGATTGCAGCATAGCTTCTTGTCACTAGGCCACCAGTGCTCAAAATGCCCCTACCTCTGAGAGCTCAGAAATCCATCCTATTCATCATATATTGTTCAATAGAAAGAGCACTTTTACTTTCAAACAGCCAGAAGTGAAAAATCTTTTGTTTTTATTTTCCCCATGTTATATCAGTAGAGAAAATACGATGAACATCAGGCAACTACACATCCACAAAGTCTACACTGACCCAGACCTTCCCAGTTGGGGTAGAGGCAGGGGAAAGAAAGGAAGAAAGAGAAAAGCAAGACAAAAGAAGACTGTGGGTTGCTGCCGTTCTTTGTCTTACCTGTAGATTACTATTTTATTGCTAAGGGTTGTCCTGCATGCATACATGATGCAGCGTCTTTGTTTTTCAGACTCTTCCAAGAGGAAGAATGGCCAGCATCTTCTCGAAGTTGCTAACTGGCCGCAATGCTCCTCTGCTACTCGCTACCTTGGGCACGAGCGCTCTGACCACTGGGTACCTGCTGAACCGGCACAACTTGTGCGCGGAGGCGCGAGAGCAGCACCGGCTCTTCCCTCCAAGGTGAGTCTCTAGGCTTGTAAGTCGCTGCAGATGCCAGCCAGAAATAAGCTTTCCCCTTCTGGGAACTCTCAGCAAGGGTACCTCCCTTTGCCTTTGAAGCGGAGTCTAATCGGCAATCATATTTCAATATCACGTTACACAGTGACTTGTGGAGAGGACAAAGAAGTCTGTCATCATCATTCAGGGGGATAACAATTATAGCAGATAGCCACATGAGCACTTACTATAAGCGTTAAGCATGTCACATGGAATATGTGTTTGATTCATTTTAGCATTCTTTTATGATAAAAAAGTAAGCTATGTACTCAATTTTATACAGCTAGTGCAGTGAGAGAATTCCAGAGCACAGCTCTGATGACTGATGGAAAACATGATGTCATAGTACTCATTTTAAATATCAACATTAAAGTACATTGAGATGGGAAGTACGGGAGTGATATGAGGGGACAAGAAGGACATTTTCCCCCCTTCAGTCCTTAAAACCTTGCCATGGTAGGACATCACATACAGAACGGAGCTGGAGTGAAGTATTGATTTTAAAGGATTCAACATCAGTAAGTGTGGATATATAAGAGAAAAGTGGATGGATAATGACCATTGCATTAGAACGGATGAAAGAAAGAACTGTCTAAAATGAATATATGACTAGGCATTATATGTAGGACAACATCCAGGAATAATAGATATAGCATTGCAAGGAGGACTGGGGAGGTGGGGATAGGTAATTGTGCAACAATGAAAGTATATTGTTTTAAAAAAGTGAACCAGGGGAGAGGGAAGGAAGGGTGAGGGGGTAGAATGTGCAACAATGAATGAATGAATGAAAAATCTAACTTCTCTGTAAACATTTATTAAAATCACAATTAAAATAAAATTGCATTTAAAAAGAAAAGGAGGAGGAAAACCCTGTGGTGTTAGTTTCTCAGAGTTGTATACTTGCCCTGTGGGAATCAGGATCTTTGAGGAATCACTGATGGTCATTATCTGCTTCACAAATTCCTGGGGGTCCAGCTTTCTGCCATCGCAGAAAGGGATCCCATAAAGGGAAGCCACACTCGGCACGCCATCTAGAATGTTGTCTGGAACAAGGAGGCCAGGAGCTTCTCCCAGACAAGGTTTCCTTTGCTGCTGCTTTGGGATTCCTTGTTGGCATATATCCCTAGGTGAGTTGTTGTTGTTATTGTTGTGGGAGACAAGCTGACTCCAATAAAAAATTCATTGCAGCCCTGGGAGAATGACCTGCTGGCCTGCCCTTGCACCACTGCCCCTCGTTGCAGCCACTATGTGGATGTTTGCAGCTGTTTCTCATCATTTTGCACTATGCTCCACCAGCAAATGAAGGTCCTTTATTAGCTGAAAGCATTAGATCATCTATTTTGCTGGTGGTTTAGTGGGTAAGGAATTGCACTGCCAACTTGAAGGCTTGCAGTTCAAATCCATTAGCCTCTCTGAAGGAGGAAAGTGGGCAATCTACTCCCATGCTATTCAGAGTTTGTGGAAATCTGTTGGAAGGTCAGCTATGAGTTGGTTCTGGCTAAAAGGTGCATAGCAACAACAACTTCCAGAAGGCAGCATTTGTTATGTTGAGTGCCTTCCACCCTGAGTCTGGAACTGTATGGAACAATGTTCTGCTGCTATTCCTATCATTCTCAGGGGTTTATTACTTCAGAAGCAGATGACTAGTCTAGCTTCTTAGTCTGGAATCTCTGGTAAATCCTGTCCATTATGGGTGACCCTGATGGTATTTAAAACACTGTTGGCATAGCTGCTAGCTTTACAGGAACACACAAGCCATCGTAATACTGAAGATTGACAGACAAGTGGTGGTGATATGTCAAGGTGTTGTTGTTATGTGTTGTCGATTTGACTCTGACTCATAGCAACTCTGTGCACTATAGCTCTGAACCCTGAGCCAATCTCACTGTCTCTGACATACTTCCACTCATTACACCAGTTACTCTGTCAATTCCTCTCAAATGGGGTCTTTCTATCCTGTACTGTCCCTCCACCCTTCTGAGCACAATGTCCTTCTCCAAAGACTGGTCCCTCCTGGCTACATGCCCAAAGTATGTGAGATAGTGTCTCAAAATCCTTGTCTCTGAGGAGCAGCTTGGTTTCACACTCTCTGGAATAAGCCTGTTAGTTCTTTTGTCAGTCCAGTGAGATTTGCGTTAGTTCACCAGATACTTGTGGAACACTTTCTTTAATAGCCAGGCACTGTTCTTGTGGCACATACAGTCTAGAGTGAGAATAGATACATTATTTCTGTGAAATTCTTCTTGAGGTTTTCTTGCAATTGTCATATTTTACTGAAACTTCTTGGAAGAAGGAGGAGGAGGAAGGGAAGCTTGATATGATTCCAATTTCTTCTCTACTTATAAATTATTGAAAATTCTCTGGTGGCCTTGTGGCAAAGAGTTGTACTGCCAATCCAAAGACAGGTGGTTGGAAGACAACTGTTTCAAGGGAGAAAGATGGACAATCTCCTCCTGTGCAATGTACAGCCTCTGAACACCCACTGGAGGGTCAGCTATGAGTTGGTTCCTACTCAAAGACCTACTACAACAAAAGCATTTTCTCTTCACAGGAACACAATCATGAGCTTCTATAGCCACCACCATAGTGGTAGTTTGGTAGGACCAGGTCCTTTTCTCTGGTAGTTAACAATGAGTTTTGTTAAAAAAACACAACAAAACAAAGTAAAAAACCAAACAAACCCCAAACCTGTTTTGCTTAAGTCATGACTCCAGGACATGTCTAACTGAGCCCACTGACAAGAGAGACTGGTAGATGATGCGCAAAAGGAAAGTTCTTCCCTGGCCCCTTCCCTCAAGAGCTGACCACTGAACACCTCTCTCTCTTCCCCCTGCAGTGCAGACTACCCTGACCTGCGCAAACACAACAACTGCATGGCTGAGTGCCTCACCCCAACCATCTATGCCAAGCTCCGCAACAAGGTGACCCCCAATGGCTACACTCTGGACCAGTGCATCCAGACTGGAGTGGACAACCCCGGCCATCCCTTCATTAAGACAGTGGGCATGGTGGCTGGTGATGAAGAGTCCTATGAGGTAAAACTCCCTGCCAGGTCCAGCTGGCAGCTGATTCCAGTGGTGGAGGGATGCTCTGGGTGACTGAAGTGCAAAGTCCCAGAGTCCTCCCCGTCCCTCCGGGTCCAGCTTTCTGTCTTCTCAGAAAGGGATCCCATAAAGGGAAGCCACCCTCAGCACGGCATCTGGAATGCTGTCTGGAACAAGGAAGTCAGGAGCTTCTCCCAGACAAGTTTTCCTTTGCTGCTGCTTTGGTATTCCTTTCCTTGGAGGACTCACTTACATGTTGATGCTCTGTGAGGTCCGCAAGGGAGGAACAGGCATGGGAACAAAAACTACTCATTGTATTCACCAAGAAGGAGATAGGAGCTATTGAGGCTGAGCTTTGTTGGTGAGCCTTTAAGTCTGGGAGTGGTTCAGGATGTCTTTAGTTGGGTAATCCTCTTATGCACTACTTATTTCTAGGGGGTTCTGGTGACCTAGAGGTAAAGATTGAGCTGCCAACCCAAAGGCACCTAGTTTGAGTCCACTAGCTCTTCTAAAAGAGAAAAATGGACAATCTCCTTCTGTGTAATTCACAGCCTCTGAAAACCCACCAGAGGGTCAGTTATGAATTATTCTGACTCAACGACAATGAGTTAAAAGTCGGAGTTACTACTGATTTCACAGTCATACATTCCAGATTTGGGGTTTCACTAAATCTCTCAGATAAAGTGCATGACCACAATACTCATATTCTTGGCTTCTAATGATAGGATGATGTGCTGCTCGCTGAGAGCAGCTCCCACGGACCTATGTCCATGAAGAGCAGGCTGCAGGGCAAATGTGTCTGGCCCTCTCTAAAGTCCCACTCTCTTTGCACCCTCCTGCTGCAGGGGACTGGAAGTAGTTCCCACAAAGGCAGCCATGGAGAGGAGGACAGAAACAGCCACTGGAACAAAGGAAACACACAGCAGAGCTCCAAATGGAGCTGGCTCCCTGGCCCTAAAGCCCTCCTCCTGTTCCAATGGTTCCAAGGCTGTGGATACTGCCAATGATTTCTCGTACCCTCCTTTTACTTAAAAGCTACTTCTGATGTTTCTGTTGATTAGAGTTTGCCTAAGATTATGGCCTTGGGAAGGTTCTCCCAGGTCCCTGTTTTATCCCAATCATGGCTGTGTCCTTTTCTGGCCCAGCTGGGTTATCCACAAATTAATATATTGTTTCAACTCCAGAACTGGATCTTCCCTTCTGACCACAAAAACGTTTAGCCTCTGGACTGGCAGCTTCTTTTATCACAGAAAGGCAAGAATAGCTTGAGGAAATCTTTGAATTCTTACAAGATTTTAAAACCCAGTTTTTAAGGCACTCAGTTTGATGTAATCATGAGGAAAGAAGTTAATCTGACTGAGTTCAGATGCCATGCCCATTACCAAGGGGCCACCAAAAGTTCTACGCTGTAGAAACTCCTTCCTCCTCTTCTCTTCCTCTTCTAATTTTCCTCCTTCTCCTTTCTCTTCTTCCTGTCTTCCTTCATTCCCCTCAGAGCCTCTGGCAAGTTGTTGTTGTTGTTATGTGCCATCGAGTTGCCTGTGACTCATAGCGACCCTATGTACAACAGCCCTAAAACCTGCTCTATCCTGTGCCAATTATACAGTCTCGGACACACCTACCTCCATTACCCCAGTGACTGAATCAATCTCGAGAGTCTTCCTCTCCTGTGCTGTCCTTCCACCCTCCCAAGCATGATGTCCCTCTCCAAGGACTGGTCCTGCTTTGCAACATGTCCAAAGTATGTCAGACAAAGCTTCAGAATCCTTGCCTCCAAGAAGCAGCCTGACTTCACCTTCTTCAGGACTAACGTGTTTGTTTACCTAGCAGTACATAGTATATTCAACACTCTTCTCCAGCACCACACATTAAAACTGCCCAAAACACTGCCTTTGGGTTAGCAGCTCAATTCAAATGCCAGCAGAGGAAGGCATCAACTTTGGCTGTTAAGAGGGGCAAGCGATAAGAAAGATCTTGTACTAATAAGTGCACAGATTAAAGAGAAAACAGAAGCATCTTCTCTCTTGCAGGTGTTTGCTGAACTTTTTGACCCCGTTATCAAGCTGAGACACAACGGCTATGACCCTAGGGTGATGAAGCACCCCACAGACCTGGATGCTTCCAAGGTAGGCCCAGGACAGCTCTGGCTTCACTTGATGCCTTCCCATGATGCTAGTGACCGAGAGCATGCAGTGATGAGAACCAGGGAGAAAGGCTATATACACACTGTGGTTCAGATGTGTCCCCACCAGGAGCTCTCTGGTTGCCCTTGGAGGGGTCACCATAATGATCAGAAACAAGTCCCACTAGAATTGGGCTGGTCACTGAGAATTTTAAATATTTCCTAGGTGGACCCCTTTTGGCAACTTCATCATAAAGCACTTAGGGCAAGGGTTACACACACACACACACACAACACACACACACACACATTGTTTACCATAGAGTCTCGGAACTGACCCAAAGCAGATCTTCCCACAGATTTTCAGAAGCAGTTAATCAAACAGGAGGAAATTGTTCATCCCTCTCCTGTGGAGCAGTTGGTGGATTCGAACCATGTGTCTTCAGGATTACAGTGTAGCTTCTTAATATCTATATCTAATCTAATCTATATAAGGGAGCTCTGGTGGCCTAGTGGCAAGAAGCTGTGCTACCAATTCCAGGGCCACCAGGTGCTCTGTGGAAGAAGGAAGGATAGCTGCCTCTGAAAACCCACTCGAGGGTCAGCTATGGGTCTGTTCTGACTTCAAGGCACACATTTATGTGTGTATATGTACGTATATATATGTATTATGTATTCCTGTTCTTTACATGTCGAAGGCCTCCTTTCCACTAGGTTCCAGAGGTTCTAAGTCTATAAAAGCGCAGAGCCTGAGGGTCCAAGGGCTGCTGGAGTCTGTGTCACGGTCTGCTCCGAGCTTGGCCTGCAGTGACCCACGCTGTGCCCACAGGTCACCCACGGGATGTTTGACGAGCGCTACGTGCTGTCCTCTCGGGTGCGCACGGGCCGCAGCATCCGCGGGCTGAGCCTGCCGCCCGCCTGCACCCGTGCCGAGCGCAGAGAGGTGGAGAATGTGGCCATCACCGCCCTGGAGGGCCTCAAGGGGGACCTGGCCGGCCGCTACTACAAACTGTCTGAGATGACCGAGCAGGACCAGCAACGGCTCATCGACGTGAGTAGCAAAGGGCAGCCCACTAGAGACCAGGAGCTGGGCTGGACCGAGGCCATGACCAGCATGACTTGGCCTCACTCCTGGCCTTGAGGAGCCACCTGAGGGTGGAGCAAGCTTGGAGTTCAGCGAGGCTCCCAAAAGCCCCAACTCATTGTTCATTAGAGTAAGAAAGGAAGGAGAAGGCCAACTGTGATTGCCAAGCCATGCAAATGTGCGCAAAATGCGCATAGAAAACTGGAAAAATGGAGCTGGTAAGCTGGGGCTAGCAGGGTGGGGAGAGTGAAGGATTAGCCCCTTGCTTGTTGGTAAATATAGAAGACTTGGCTGGAGAAATCTTGTCTGTGCCAGAGACAAGGCCTTCATTACTCCACCGGAAAGAAACCTGAAAGCTAGGAGAATATGGAAAAGAAATTCCAAATGGAAGGGCTGCCCCAACTTTCCTTGGATCTAACCTTGGCTTTTCCTGCTGCCTCCACAAAGTCCCACCTCCAAAGCAGACATTCCCCTGGCACTAGAGTCCACAGCACTGAGGCCCCTACTTGTTTTCCCCTAGTTGTTGTTCGGTGCTGTTGAGTTGACTATGACTCATAACAACCCCATGAACCACGGATCTGAACCCTGCCCAATTCTGGCCGTCCTCGTCATCTCTGGTATACTTGAGACCGTTGTGTTATTAAAATCACTGCCAGTTCAATTTTTTGAGAGTCATCCTCTCTTTGGCCGCCCTCCCCATTTTTGAGAATGACATCTTCCTCCAAGGACTGGCCCCTCCTAACAACATGTGCAAAACACGTGGGACAAAGCTTCACCATCCTTTCCTATAAGGAGCACCCTGGTTCCACTTTCTCAGAGACATACTTGTCCTCTTAGCAGTCCATGGGATATTTGGTACTTTTCTCCAACACCATAACTCAAAGGCATCAGGGAGTTCAAAATGAATTTATAACTCCAAAGAAAAGCAGGAACAAAGTCTGGCTATTTTAGAAGATACAAAATCCATAAAACATGCTCATTTTCTAATCAGTTTGGTCATTCACTGGTTTGTGGGATCTAGTTTCCTGTCACTGTGGTGATGGGATAAAACTATCACTCCCCTGTAACAGAACAAGTCCAAACCCCCAGCTTAAGGGACATTATGTCTCCTGGATACTGGCAGTCCACAAGCCTGTGTGACTCAAGATGCTAATCTCTCCCACTTCTTAGGATTTGTGTAGCAATTCCTCCTCCTGTGGCCTCTGGTTTTTATACTTCAGTTGTTGTTACTGTTGTGTGCCATTGAGTCAGAACCAATCCAGAGTCCTCTAGTGGGTTCTCAGAGGCAGTTAATCACATGGAGAAGATAGTCCATCCTTCTCTCATGGTGCAGCTGATGGATTCAATTCACGTGTCTTTGAGTTGCTGCGAAGCTCCTTACCATTAGGCCACCAGAGTTCCCAAATATACTTCAGTATAATTACACACAAACACATAGAACCCAGAAATATTTAATATACTGACATGTTAAATAAACCATGGACTGCAAAAAGAACAACAGCAACAAAATCTATCCCAGAAGAAGCCCAGTTTAAAAGTGTTCCTTAGAAGCAAGTGTGGTAAGACTTCATCTCACATACTTTGGACATATTGTCAGAAGTGGCTAGTCTCTGGAGAAGGGCATCATGCTTGGTAAAGTAAAGGGCCAGTCAAAAAGGAGGAAGACTTTTCAGAAGATGTGTTGATCAAGTGACTCTGACAATGACCATTGGCACAGCAGAGATTGTGAGGATGGTGCCAAATCACGAGGGGTTTTGATCTGTTGTACATGGTCACCATCAATCAATTAATTTGATACATGTTGATATAGCAACATACATATACCCTCACCATAGATAAATGTGTATTTATTCAAGAAAAGGTAATGGACATATTACAAGAAAAAGATCAGTGTCCTGGCATTAATTTTGATACATGAAATAGTATATGCTTCTGGTTAAAAACACATCCTTGTAAATCACACAAATCTAAGTTTAAATCTTACCTCTGTGCTTACAGTTGTGTGATATGGATTGCTTTATCTTCTGAGACTTAAAGGAGAGAGTATCAAGGCACTTACCAGAAAGTCCGGCATGTAAAATGAGTGCTGGTGATTTTATTTATGGACCACAATTTTATATTCTTAGTACCTTTTTAATGAAAAAGGATCCTGATAATAAATGAATCAGTTAGGCTGGCATTTGAGCAATGGCAGCTGTGTAAAACTAACCTTTCAGGATAGGGCCCCTTGTTCACTGCCCACTTTCCCCTGAGTTCAGTAGGTGCTGGTGGTAGATGCCCCAGTGGTTTAGTAAGTATTTCCGTCTGTATCAAGTCAATGGTCGCCAACCTTGGCTACACACTAGAATCACTTGAAGACCTTTAAGAAATCCTATTGCCCAGGTAACACTTCATATTATTAGACCAAAGTCTCTAGAGACAGAAACCGGAAATTAGTTTGTTTGTCTTGGCTTGCTTTGTTTTTGTTGGGTTTTTGTTTTTGTTTTGTTTTTGTTTTTGTTTTTTTTCCCCCCATAAAACTACCGAGGTCATTCTAGTAGGCGGCTTTGGTTGAAAACTCAAATCAAAGAGACCTAAGCCATTATTAGCTGAGTTGAAAATTGGCCACCTAGCATTTACCGTCCTGTCTGATCCCAGTCTCTCCTTCTCTCTGCTTTGTCCCCTTTGGCCTGCAGGATCACTTTCTGTTTGACAAACCAGTGTCCCCTTTACTAACGTGTGCCGGGATGGCCCGTGACTGGCCAGATGCCAGGGGAATCTGGTATGGACAAAGCATTTTCCTATTTGCAATATGTGCAGAGGATCTCCTCCTGATTGGCTGGCTTGCCCTAACCTGAAGTTGTTGTGAGCTACACTTGACAGCATGCCTGGCTTCAGCTAAATGGAGAAGAGAGAGTGCTAGAGGCTGTGTGTGTGTGTGTGTGTGTGTGCACGTGCGCACATGCACACACGTGTGCCTCAGTATTGTGGTACTTCTAAGGGGTGTGTGTGCATGTGTGCATAAACGATGTGTGTGTGTGTGTAAACTGCCTTTATGGAGGAAGAGTTAATTTTCTATTATTTGTTTAACCTTACAGAGATGCTGCTTGTGACTTTAAAACAAATAGTGGAAACAAAAAAAGTAAAAAGGATTTCAGTTAAACCCTAAAAGGAAGATTAGATATGTTGTGTTAGATCGATATAGAAGAGATGATATGATATAGAGATAGAGATATCTTCTTGGTCAACAGTCCTCATCTACTTTGATTTCTGTTGCTTAGATTATTGTCACAATACTTGAAGGAGCTAAATTCATGAACAACTACTCAGTAAGGGTGAACAGGGAGAATCTAATAGCAAACATACCTGAGATGTTCTGCACCCCAATATGTTAAGCTGCAGGTAAACTTCTTTTTTTAATGTCCAAAAGGTTTTAGGTGGTTCCATCAAGAAACAAAATACTCCTGTTAGTGTCAAAGCTAAAAATGCTATACTAGTTCAAGTATTGTTATCTTAGTCTGAGGAACAGGAAGTCCTGGTCACACTGTAGGCTAAGCATTGGGTTGCTAACCCAACGATTAGCAGTTCAAACCCACCAGGTGCTCCAAAGAAGAAAGATGAGGCAGTATTCTTCTAGAAGGATCTGTAGGTTTGAAAACTGCTTAGAGTAGTTCTACTCTGTCTATAGGGTTGTTAGGAGTTGAACTGCCTCAATGGCAGTGAGTAATCTGAGGAGCTGCTACTATTGTTGTTGCATACAAGTGAGTTGAATATGACCCATAGTTGACCCTCCAGCACATTTTCTATGGCAGTATATCATGCAGGAGGAGATCGTCTGTCTTCCTTCCACGGAGCAGAGGGTGGATTCGAACCACTTACCTGTGGGTTGGCAGTGCAGCTCCTTACCACTAGGCCACCAGAGCTCCCTGAGGAGCTAGGAAGATGACATTTTTGGGGGGCAAAAAATATGACCTCTTTAATAGTGGATTTGCTCTTAACTTCCACTCTGTCAGAGTAACATTATTTTGTAGTTCTTGTTAAAGCGATTAAGAGATAAGGACTTGGTGGGAAATTAGGAAGGTCCATGGAATGAAGCAATTCATGGGGATGTTCACATGTTAAAATAAATGCAATTGATACTTCACATCATCTTTTTCTATTCATTAGGCATAATTATGACAAGACATTTCTCATCTGGATAAATGAGGAAGATCACACCAGGGTAATCTCTATGGAAAAAGGAGGCAACATGAAAAGAGTATTTGAGCGATTCTGTCGTGGACTAAAAGAAGTAAGATGCTATCAAAGATGTCTGACAATCCAGTAAGACAAAATATCTTAAGGTTTTTGTTCTTGAAAGCAGGCACTATGTGAATATTCCCCCCACCCATAACCAATGCATTCTTTTGAGATGGGACTTCCTGGGCAGAGCTTCAGAGAAGAGCTGAGTTTTCTGTTTTATTTTTGAGCACTCATGCTCCCCTCTCCAACCCAGAATGACATTGAAAATGAAAGTGAGAAAGAGCCCCAGTGAAATGGGCTGACACAGTGACTGCAGCAATGGGCTCAAGTGTGCCAGAGAGGATGAGGATGGCACAGGATAGGACAAAGTTTGGTCTGTTGTTTAGACGGTTGCTAGAAGTCATACTTGACTAGACAGCACCGAACGACAATACCAATATTGCTGTGGACCATTTTAAGGCTAGAGACAATGTAGGGTATCTCTAGATCCCTAATGAATCTGACAATCAACTTACCTGCTGAGGTTTCTTCTATTCTTTTACTGTCTTCAGATGACAAACATTATCAGAAACTGGCACTTGTTGAGGACTTAGTATGGGCAAGGTACTGTGCTCCATGTCTTACATAGTCTGTCTTACTTAGTTGGACCATTTTAATATTCTAGTGGAAGAGGTGTTATTTTCTATGGAAGATGTACTCTAACGTTACCTAAATGTCGTTGATGGCAAACGTGCAGTCCACAGATCTGACCATGATGCTTGCAATGTGCTGAACAGATTCAAGTGCTTACACTGCCACTTGTTCACTGTTGCTCTGCTTACAGGTAGAGCGGTTAATCCAGGCGCGAGGCTGGGAGTTCATGTGGAACGAGCGCCTGGGTTACATCCTGACGTGTCCTTCCAACCTTGGCACAGGATTACGAGCTGGTGTCCACGTTAGAATCCCAAAGCTCAGTAAGGTATGTTGTGTGGTCCTGCCAGAGTTAGCTCAGCTGTGGCTGCTACATGGAGGACAAAATTCCTTTCAAACCATTACCCCTTCCTACACCTCAGATAGGAAAATAATGTGGAAAGGTTAAGATTGTCTTAAAATACATTTCATTTTGTTCTTGTTTGGTGCTGTTGAGTACAATTCATAGCGATCCTATAAACAATGGATCTGAACCTTGTCCTATCCCATGCCATCCTTATCCTCTGTGATATATTTAAACCCATTGCTTAAGTGTGAAGTTGCTGTATCAATCCATCTCATTTAGGGTCTTCCTCTTTCACTGACCTTCCACCTTCCTAAGCATGATGGACATTTCCATGGAATAGCACCCCCTCCCCAACAACATGCCCAAAGGATGTGAGACTTAGGTTAAAAGATTAAGTGGTTGTAAGAAGACGGCGGCTTCAGGATCAATGAGCTTCTGTTCCCTCTCCTTTAACATCTCAGGTGAGGTAACAGGCTGTTCTTCTCCCTGTGGAGCCTTATTACTTATTTCTCTATTCTCTCCTAGTGCTCAAAATCAACCCTAAAGCCTTTAGGGTTGCCCCTTGACTCAGTAACCCTGCAAGTCCTGGGCCAATTTATATACTCACTCACTCTGTCATTGTTATCAAACGGGAGCCAACTCCCAGCAGACTCTCCATTAGGTATCCGAGGCTATTGCACAGGGAGGAGATTGCCCATCTTTCTGCTGCAGAGCAGCTGGTAGATTTTAAATTGCCAGAGAAGCTCGAGTTTCGATTAAGCAACAGTGCTCTGTATGATCTAAACCAGGAGAGCTTCCTGGCCTGATTTATACAGTGGCTCTCAAACTTGAATATGCATCAGAAGCTCCTGGAAGGCTTGGCTAAAACAGAGATCGCTGGGTCTTCTCTAAAGAATTTCCATTTTTAACAAGTTTGCAGTTGATACTGTTGCTGCTAGTCAGGAACCGCAGTTGCAGATGTATCTTGTGCCCACTTCTGCTTGTTTCATTAGCAGAAACGTAACCCGTGGTCACTTCCTCAAGCTCCAGCTCTGGATGGAAAGGAGAAAGAATTTTGGTGGACCAGTAGTCATTATTTTATTTTCCCTCACAGCACACCAAGTTATTTTAAAACAACTTTATAAAATGTGCTTCCTATAAAAAAAAAACCATGGAAATTATTGTTACTCCAAATTCCAATGGTAAAATTATTTGAAGTCAGTTAGCTTTGTTATTTTATTTACACTAAAGATAGCTGTAGATGAATGATAAACACACCAGATGCCCAAAAGGTGTTAACAGAACTAAGTCTGCATTCACACTGTTCTGGTTCAATTCCAATTTTGCCATCTGCTATAGCTATAGTCATATAGCTATAGGACTTTGTTTAAGTTAATTCCCCTAATACTCAGTTTCAATATCTGTGAAATGGGGATGAGATCAATATCAAAGTCATAGGGTTAACATAAGTGTCAAGATTTCCAGCACCTGGTACATAGTGAAGAAATAATAAATACCAAGTCCTATTATTTTTCTCATTTTATGTTTTTCTAAGTGGTGGTGTTGTTATTATGTGTCGTCGAGATGCCAGCAACTTATAGCAACCCTATCCACAACAGCTCTAAACCCTGCTCTATTCTGTGCCAATCTTATTGTCTGTGGCACACCCACCCCCATTACCCCAGTCACTGAGTCAATCCATCTCATCAAGGATCTTCCACTCCTGCGCTATCCCTCCACCCTCCCAAGCATGACGTCCCTCTCCTTGCACCATGTCCAAAGTATGTCAGACAAAGCTTCAGAATCCTTGCCTCCAAGGAGCAGCCTGGTTTCACCCTCTCCAGGATGAACCTGTTCATTATCTTAGAAGTCCATGGTATATTCAATACTCTTCTCCAACACCACAGCTCAAAGGCCTCAACTCTCCTTCTGTCCTCCCTAGTCATTGTCCAGCTCTCTGATGCATAGCAAGTGATTGCAAAGACTATGACCAGTGTCAGGTACACCCTAGTCTCCAAACTGACAATTTCTCTTCAATACTTTGGAGAGGTCTCTGAGAACAGATTTTCCCAATGCAATATGTTTTTTAATTTCCTGGCTGCTGGTGCCACAAGAACATGTCAAAATCTATTTTGCTTTTGATGATAATAAGTATTATTCCTTGTCCGAGGACCCCCGTTTTTCTAAGATCCTGGAGAACCTCCGACTGCAGAAGCGTGGCACTGGCGGCGTGGACACTGCGGCAGTGGCAGATGTGTATGACATTTCCAATATCGACCGAATTGGACGCTCAGAGGTAACTTGTCTCTCTCCTTTCCCTAAGAAGAATGAACACAGTCATAAAAAGAAAAGAGGGAGTAAGATGGTGGCCTAAGCAGCCTTACCTTATTCACAGAATCTAAGGCCTCTTTCCCCGTTGAGTTAGAAAGGTATGTTAGCTTTTCATTCGGCAAGTGTAGTCTTATACATGAATAACTTCATGAAAGTCAGCCCAATCTGGGAACTTGTCGGCAAGTGAAGGAATTCACAGTGGGAGCATTGTCACCAGCCTGCCCTGAGAGCTAGGCCGGTAATCTGCAGCAGCAGGGGCTCTATTATGCTAAAGGACAGGAGTATTTTATTACTGTAAAGGCAGGGAACACACATGCTGTCTACATGAGGGTGCTGAAATAGGGGCGTTTTTTCTTGATTTGGTATTTCCTTTACTGAAGGTCACATATTATTATCTTTACTTTGGCATTTAGTAAAATCTTAGGCATTTAGTAATTTCTAAAATTTTCTTTTTGGGGTAAAAGTGGAAAGTAGGATGTACAATAGATTTGAGCTTATAACCCCTGACAGCCTGTAATACATAGGAGCAATAGAATGCATAGATTGCATGTAGGCCTGGAGCACACATGGCAATGTACAGCAGAATCCCAGCAAATGCTGACCACAATATTTGTGCATCATGATGGTAAATGTGGCAATAGATGTTGGTGAGGGTCACACAACATGATTGATGTAATTAATATCACTAAATTTTATAAAAAAATTTAGAGCTGGCACATGTCTTATATATATTCTTTATTATAACTAAACCAAAAAATTATAATAAAAACTAAATGAGCTTGTTTGCTGTCTTTTTGAGGAAGAAGCAACTATACATACTACAACTTCTGAAATGTAAAAGGTAGTGCACAGTATAGTAAATTAAGACTATCTGAGGCCTAACCCTGTCTTCTTCTAGTATTAGATTTTCACTAATGGAAACAAGGCAGCCAGTATATTTTTTGAAAAAATGTAAGCAAAAAGGTAAGTTAATACATGATCATTATAAAGACCAGAAAAATAGCTCAAAATGTATAAAAATATAAAGCAATCTAATATAAAATAGAAATCAATCCAATAACCCTGAGATAATTGTTGTACAATTATTCTAAATATTTTTACGATTATTTGAAAGTTTTTTGTTTTTTACAAAATTTCTTATTTTAACATATATTTCAAATTTTATAATTTACTCCTTTCTCATGCATTATGAGGGAGCTCTGGTGGCCTAGGGGTAAGGAGCTGTGCTGCAATCTGGAGGCACACAGTTCAAATCCACAAGCTACTCTACAGGAGAAGGCTGAGCAATCTCCTCCCATGTAGTTAACTGCATTTAAAAACCTGCCGGAGGCTCATCTATGGGTCGGTCCCGACTTGATGGTTGTTGTTATGTGCCGTCGAGTCGTTTCCGACGCATAGCGACCCTATGCACAACAGCCCTAAACCCTGCTCTATCCTGCGCCAACCGCACCGCCTCTGGCACACCCATCCCTATTACCCCAGTCACCGAATCAATCCATCTCATAGAGGGTCTTCCCCTCCTGCGCTGTCCCTCCACCCTTCCAAGCATGATGTCCCTCTCCAAGGACCCGTCCCTCCTGGCAACATGTCCAAAGTATGTCAGACGAAGCCCCAGAATCCTTGCCTCCAAGGAGTAGCTTGGTTTAATCCTCTCCAAGACAAATCCGTTTCTTTTCCTGGCAGTCCAGGGTACATTCAGTACCCTTCTCCAGCACCACAGCTCAAAAGCATCCACTCTCCTTCTGTCCTCCCTAGTCATTGTCCAACTCTCTGATGCATAACAAGTGATTGCAAATACCATGGCCTGTATCAGGCGCACCTTAGTCTCCAGAGAGACACCGTTGCTCCTGAGTACCTTAGAGAGGTCCCTAACAGCAGACTTTCCCATCGCGATACGCTTTTTGATTTCCTGACTGCTGGTGCCAAGAGTGTTGACTGTGGAGCTGAGCAAACTGAAGCTGTGAACACTCTCAATCTCTTCGCCATCCATCCTGACGCTGCCAATTGGTCCAGTGGCGAGAATCTTTGTCTTCTTGACATTGAGCCTTAGTCCATACTGAAGGCTGCAGTCCTTGACCCTTCGCAGCAAGTGCATGAGGTCCTCCTCAGTTTCAGCAAGCAGGGTTGTGTCATCTGCATAATGGAGATTGTTAATAGACCTTCCACCAATCCTGATGCCACAATTCTCCTCATAGAGCCCAGCCTCTCGGATAATCCGCTCTGCATACATGTTGAAAAGGTATGGAGACAGGATGCATCCCTGGTGTACACCCTTCCCAATTTTGAACCATGCAGTGTTACCCTGCTCTGTTCTGACTACTGCCTCTTGGTCCAAGTATATGTTTCGTATTAGCACAATTAAATGTTCTGGGATTCCCATTCTTCTCAGAGTCAGCCACAGTTTGTTATGATCCACACAGTCAAATGCCTTTGCATAATCAATGAAACATAGATAGACATTCTTCTGGTATTCTCTGCTTTCAGCCAAGATCCATCTAACATCAGCAACAATATCCCTAGTACCACGACCCCTTCTAAACCCAGCCTGGACTTCCGGCAGTTCTCTGCTGATGTGCTGTTCTAATCGTTTTTGGATGATCTTCAGTAGAATCTTGCTTGCATGTGAAATCAATGACACTGTTGATGGTATACAACAGAAACAACAATAACAATGTGTTCCAGTGGCCCAGTGGGCAAGGAATTGTGCTGCAGGCCTTACCCAAAGGCAGGCAGTTCTAATCCATCAACTATTCCACAGAAGAAAGATGTGCACTCTCTTCCTGTGCCCTTTACAGCCTCTGAAAAATTGGTAGAAGGTCATCTAGGAGTCAGTTATGACTCAGTACCATATAATAACAATAATATTTTATGAGCATTTCTCCAAAATATTATATAATCTTCAAAAACATGATTTTTAAATTATAATGAGAGTTCATGAGGCATTTGCACCCGTGATACCACATTCTTACCCACAGGAAGGTGGGTCAATTTGATAAGTAGAAAATGTACAGTTATTTGATTGTAATTAATAAGCTTTCTGACTCAACCTTCCATCCGTGATTTCTTCATTATAAATGAAGAGGTGGAGAGAGAATTGGACAACATCATCTGTAAAGTCTATTTGCAGCTCTAATCCTCAATGATTCTTCTTTCTTTGGTATTTCTTCACAAATAATACCACGTGCTTGGCGCTACATAGAATTAGCTAATTGCTTCCTACCTTAGTGTAGGTCTCTTCATGAACAATTATTTGGGAAGTTATCCTAAAAACAAAGTTATAGGCAGATATGTTCAAGTTCAAGAATTGGCAATATTTGGTGAAAAAAGTTTTAAAGCTCATATACTGTTGTGTGCTCTATAACATCCATTCAGGTAAAGCTCAACAGCACATATGTCCATGGTCCCGTGAGCTGTATTAGAGTTTGACATTTCAGTCAGAAAATAGATTGCAGTCAACAGTCTCAGGTCTCTTATATGCAAAGTGGTTGCACTCTTAGTTGTACAGTGGAACAATACACACATAATCTATTCACATTTTGATTGTTGCTGTTGATTTCCTTTGAGTTGAGTAGGACTCATAGGGACCATATGAACGAAAGGCCTGATGCCCCTCTATAACTATCGACATTTATCAAAGTTCCTAGAGTTTCCGGAGGCATGTTGTTTAGGAAGTGGATGCCACTAGCCATAATAAACACCTGGGTTACTAGCTAATGTATGTATTGTACTTTCTAGTTAAAACATTTACCGTGTGGCTATGTATGCTTCAACACAAATATAGCATCCAATCCCTCGTCTAACATGTCTCTTTAGGTTTTGGTATTTTCTCTTGTTTGATTTTCTTTTGAAACTATTACCATGAAGTGCTTCGTGACCCTCAAATGCAGATTACTCAGTGCTGCTGAGAGTGGTGGCAACAGGCAAAGGAGAAATAGTAATTTGGAAGTGAAACAAAAGGTTATTAAACCCACAAAGGTAGAAAGTCAATGAAAGCTCTTGCTGACGGTTTAGGTATGTTGCACTGGACATACATGATGATCATCAAAATTAAATAACAAGTTCTTCTAGCTGTTTAAGAACTGGCTACACTGAAAGCTACAAGGTTAACAAAAATGTGAAGGGGTTCCATATCAGATCAATAGAAATTGCCAGTGATTAGAACTGCGGACCAAGGACCAAAGAAAACAATGAATCCCTATCAAAAGCACAGTGTTCAACTCACATAGCATCCTATTTCACAGAATATGTTGTGGATGTTAAGTGATGCCTGGCTGTGCATGTTTAGAACAGGGCAATTAAAATGTCAGTATTCAATACAATTGCAAAGCTCCCTTTCACAAGTTTACCCAGTGCCATGAAAATGTAGTTTAGTTGACTTATGAACAGGCGTCAGAAAGATATACACAGTATAAATGAAAAGATCTGATCTATGGCATGGTTGGTTCTCAGATAGTGTCGTAGCAGGCCAAAACGCAGAGCCAGTAAACAACCCCATGGTGTCACTGTATAGTTTTCCTTTAGATAAACTCTGATATTTCATAGTAGAGACTACTAAGAAAAATGTTATCTGGGATACAAGTGAGTGGTTTCCATATATAAGAAAAGTTCTCACACAGAGGATCATAACTTCATCTCAACCAAAGGAAGACAGAGAGAGACCTTTGTAATATCTGCTTCCAGCCTGTGACAATAGCTACCAGATGGGTCTCCTCCCACAATGCTTTAGGAGAAAGTAAGGAGGAGGAAGTTGTTTATAAAGAGCACCTAACATGGCATTTGTTGCGGGGCTGTTCCTGTTTATCAATGCCCTGCATATGCTTCCTATGCAATTTAATCATTCATCTTTTTCACTTTCAAAGGTCGAGCTTGTTCAGATAGTCATCGATGGAGTCAATTACCTGGTGGATTGTGAGAAGAAGTTGGAGAGAGGCCAAGATATTAAGATACCACCACCTCTGCCTCAATTTAGCAGGAAGTGAACTTTCCCTTCCCTGATCTGTCGGCTGGTATGACAGACATAAAGAAACCTCTAGACTGAGAGTTTTTATAGACTGGAAAAATTAAAAAGATTGTAAATCCTGTCTGATGTTATAATAAAACTCTCCTTATTATCTCTGGTTTATTTCCTTGATTTATTTTTTTTTTAATGCTACAAAGAAGGGCAAGCATAACCAATTGCAAGTTGTTGTTGTTGTATACTGTTGAGTTGCCTGTGACTCATAGCAACCCTATGTACAATAGCTCTGAAGCCTCCCCTGTTCTGAGCCATTTTCATTGACTCTGACATGCCTGCCCCCATTGCCTTAGTTACTGTATCAATCCATCTCATCCACGGTCTTCCTGTCCTGTGCTGTCCCTCCACCCTTCCAAGCATTATGTCCTTTCTCCAAGGATCGGTCTCTCCTGGCCATGTGTCCAGAGTATGTGAGATGGCGCTTCAAAATCCTAGCTTCCAAGGAGAAACTTGGTTTCACTCTCTCCAAGACAGACCTCTTTGTTTTCTTTGTAGCGCATGGTATGTTCAAGACTCTTCTCCTGCACCCCAGCTCAAAGGCATCAATTATTCTGTCATACTTAGTCATTATCCAGCTCTCTGATTCCTAGCAAGTAATTCTAAAGATCATGGCCTACATCAGTTGCACCTTGGTCTCTAGGCTGACATTGTTACTTCTTAGTACTCTGGAAAGGTCCCTGACGGCAGAGTTACCTAATACAATTCGTCATTTGATTTCCTGACTGCTGTTGCCAAGAGTATTGATTGTGGAGCTGAGCAAACTGTAACTGTTAACACCTCAATTTCTTCTCTATCTATTATGGTGCTGACAATTGGTCCAGTGGTGAGATTCTTTGTCTTCTTGATGTTGAGCATCAATCTGTATTGAAGACCACAGTCCTTGACATACTGCAGAACGCACTTCAGGTCCTCCTCAGTTTTGGCAAGCAAGGTTGTGTCACAATGCAGGCTGTTGATGAGTCTTCCTCCAATCCTGATGCCACATTCCTCCTTATAAAGCCCAGCCTCCCGAATGATCTGTTTTGCATATAGATTGGAAAGGTCCACAGCAGAAGGCAAAAAATCTTTTAAAACAGTAATAAAAATGACATTTAAAAGCCTATTTACACTCAAATCTAGACGACTGCTCCACTGAATCTAGATAAATCCTTAACAATCCATTTTCCAATAGATACTTTTGGAAAATGCTGATCTTATATACTGGTCAAACTTCTAGAATGTAAAGCAAGAAAGTGTGGACCTAAAGACTAAGACTACCTATTTGAGAACAAATGGAAGTTCTATTTTTCAGAGCTTGCTACAATAAGAAAGTCTCCACCACCACTTGCATTTGGCAGCGCTTCAAAGGCAGGCGAGGTGTGAGAAAGCTGGTCGGTGAAAACAAAGGAAAGCTTCCAGTGTGATCTGACTAGGTTGTAAACATGGGAAGTTGGGGGCGGGCTAACAAGTCAGAGAGACAGTCCATCCTGTGTGATCCATTTGCAGAGCACATCTGGCTTTTCCTGGTTGTCCTTGAGATGAAAGCAGGGATCAGATTTTGGGGCAACTGGCAATTATCAACCAAGATCTGAGTATTCTGGTGTGGTTTTGAAGAAGTTGTGATGTGGCTGGCTTCCTGGCATGGTTGGTGAAGAGGCTGTGAGTTAGACTCTGTATGATCTGACTATTGTCCATTTGTATCTTCAGTCTTTCGGAAACAACAAAAGATCTAGTCATTGAATCACTGAAAATGTTTTGATTGGAATTCCATGGCTGGACTCCTTCCTCAGTGCTGAGCCCTTTGTCTCAATTCTTGTTTTTCTTTTCCACCTATTCTGTCATGTCCCTCCCAGAGGCAAGACAAAAGGGATAGGAGTTGCCAATTGTGTAACAATTTAAGAAATGGTCCTTACATAAAAGACAAATGTGATGAGCTTGACTAAGAATGAGATGTAAGTCAAACCAACTAGGAGACATCATCTCACCCCAGTAACAATAGCAAAATACAACAGAGCAGCAAACAACAAATGCTGGCAAGGTTGTGGAGAAACTGGAACCCTTATTCACTGTTGGTGGGAGTATAAAAAGGTGCAACCACTATGGAAGGCTGCATGGTGCTTTCTCAAAAAGTTGTAAATAGAAATACCATTTCACCCAGAAATTCCACTACTGAGAATATACCTTAAAGAAACCAGAACTGCCACCCAAGCATGTTTATTGATGCTTAGTTTACAATAGCAAAAAGTTGGAAACAACATCAACAAATTCATCAACAAATGAATGGATAGAGAAGCTGTGATATATTCACACAATGGAATATTATGCAGCATTGAAAAATAATGAACTCATGAAATATACAAAATGGGTGACCCTGAAGGACATCATGCTGAGTGAAATATCTCAGTCACAAAAGGACAAAAACTGCATAATGCCACTCTTATAAAACAGGACTGGCATGAGGGTTCGGGGGAAACTAAGAAAAGAAGGGGCAAATAATGTACACAGCATTAAAACAGATGAAGGAGAGAACTGTATTAAAAAAAATATATGATTAGGCATTTTTGGCATGACAAGAGTCCAGAATAAGAGCTGTGTAATAAAATGGACTGGAGGGGGGGGGGGACTGTATAACAATGAAAGAGGGTTTTTTTTCCCCAAAGAGAAAAGCAAACTGGGGGAGGGGAGCCAGGCAGGAAAATGTACAACAATGAATGAATAGAAATCCATGTTCTCTATAAATTTTCATTAAAATTTCAATTAAAAAAAGGGGAAAACAGAATGATATCCAATCCTGCAGTCTGTGAGTGTGCACTATTAGTACTACATTTGAATCAAATCACTGCTAAAATGCCAGGATTTGGCTTAGAACCTGCTTTGTTGAGAACAACATTAAAAATAAGAAGAAGAATAAAACAACACACTAAATTTCAGCTGCCAAACTGATATGTGATAGAAATCCCCCCAAAGTCAACAATCTAACATAATTCACATCACCATTCTAAATATTCTCAATAGGGTGTAGCGGGAGGGCTGTTCCACTAACCCGTTCCTGAAGATACATTAGCTAGCCCAGTTAACGAATAAGCTTTCTGGATAACGAGGAATAAGGATAGAGAAGACTGTGGTACCATGATTAAGCGTGTTGATTCCCTAGCAGCTTTTCCTGGGTACAAATTCCAGCACTCATATAATATGACCTTCAGTGATTTTCTAGGTTTTGGTTTTTTTTAAATTTCTGCTCTATAAAATTAGAATAATGATGGACACCTTTCAGGACTATTGAGAGAATAAAATTAATACTTGAAAAGTTCATTGAAAGTACTTGTGTTTACTGAACATATACTATGTGTTTACTGAATAAACAATAAAAATAAATGTCATTATTATAATATTGTAACTAGCTATCTCTGAATATCCCTCAGCACAGTCCTACATATCAAAGTAAACATGACTGCTATCTGAACAGAGCAAGGGAATACTGGATGGATTAAAATCAAGAAAAGTATGCATCAGGGTTGTATCCTTTCCGTGTACTTATTCAATCTGTATGCTGAGCAAATCACTTGATAAACTGGACTTTTATGTCATCAGAGTAAGACAAAGACTTATCAACTTGCATTATGCAGATTACACAACCTTGCTTGCTGAAAGTGAGGAGGACTTGAAATGCTTGCTGCAGAAGATCAAAGAAGACAGCCTTCAATAGACATTGCATCTCAACATCAAGAAGACAAAAATCCCAACCGCTGGACAGATAAGCAACATCATGATAGAGAAATTTGAAATTTTAAATAATTTTATTTTACATGGTACCAATAATCAGAAGATCAGAAGCTGTATTGGATGGGGAAAGCCCACGTTGTCAGAGACCTCTCCAAAGTGCTGAGGAGCAATGATATAAATTTGAAGACTAAGGTGCACCTGATTCAGGCCATGGCCTTGTCAATCACTTGCTATGCATCTGAGAGCTGGATAATGAATAAGGATGAGAGAAGAAGAATTTATACCTTTGAGTTGGGCCACTGGAAAAGAACACTGAATATCCCATGGATTGCAACAAGAGCAAACAGATTGTCTTTGGAAAAGTGCACCCAGAGTGCTCCTTGAAGACAAAGGTGATGAAGCTTCATCTCATATACTTTGAGCATGTTGCTAGGAGAGGCTCTTACTTGAAAAAGACCATTACGCTTGGAAAGGTGGAAGGTGAGCAAAAGAGAGGAAAACCCTCAATAAGATGGATCGACACAGTGATCGAGACTGTGAGGATGGCACAAGATAGGACAGGGTTCAGATACGTCGTTCGTAGGGTCGCTATGCGTTGTATTCAACTTACTTGCACCTAGCAAAAACAGGACTAACGATCCCTCTTCTGAAAGATCTTATGACCTACATGGTAAATGAAGGCAAATTTACAGAACTAAAGAAACATACACATAAATCACAAACTGAAGAGATTAAATAGAAGTGTACACTAATATTTCATTTTTTTCAGAAGAAAAACAGAGAGGTGGGAAAGAAAATGTATATCAAACTATATGGCTATTGAAAGAAAACCCAGTTTTGTAATCTGTGCCACAATATTACAAGTAAAATTACCAACATTATTAACAACAAAAACTAAGTGGACCTTTAAAGTGCATAATTCTCCAGATAACATCTTTATTTTTATAGTTGCTGCTTTGCCCCCTTGTTGTGTACCATCAAGTCGGATCTGACTGGCACAGGAGGAGATTGCCCTGCCTTCTCCATCGGAGCATAAAAAAATCACATGAACATTTGTAGCCAGTATTGTTTGTCCCCAGTTAGTATAATCTTTAAACTGTTTTATCTACATGTGAAACTCTTGATTTGTGCAGTTCCTGACCTTTACTCTATTTTCAGGAATGTACTCCAGTGTCATTTTATTCATACAGAACAAAACATTCACAACTAAAATTTAGTTAAGCCAAGTATACAATGATTCCCAAACACTCAATAAGGCATCTTACTTTTCTTTGAAACCCTCTGTACTCAGCAATTATCCTTTCCTGACAGCTCTTCAGACAATTTCATATTGTGTAACAGCACTTAAATTGAACATAAGACTATTCCTTTGCCCTCAGGCACTGCCAACCATTGA